AATTAAATTTTTAAAGAAAATTATATAATTGTGATATGTAAATAAATAAATTGTATCATGTATATATAATATATAAAAATATAAAATACTAAACTTTTAGGTTATAAAAATACTATATCTGCCAAAATAATTTACTATAATAATAAATATACAACAAATATAAACTACATATATATACTTACCTTTTTAATTAATAACTGGTCCGTCTTACAAAACAATTTGTATATTTTTGGAATATCGATCTCAATGATTATGATCCACTAGTATCCACAAGCGTTCACTTTCAGGAAATGGCGGTAAATCGAGGCGGAATAAGCATAGAAATATATAGATACCAGAGATTTAAGGCGCGAACACACAAAATCGTAGCGGCATCACCCAACCAAATGCCACATATATGTGCTGCGCAGTGTGTTTTACGGAACACCGCGCATATATGTACGCGATCGCATTTGTGGTTGTGTATTTGATTGCACACAAATTGCACATAAATAATGTCTCATAAAATACTTAAAATTGTACATAATAGATAAACATGACGATAAAAAATTTGAAAATTATCGCGCCGTTTTTTTTAGGATAAGAAATAATGGATAACTAATAAAACAAATCCATTACAAACGTACATTGAACGTACAGTATTTAACTTATATTAGTCATATATAAAATAAAATTCCAATGGACGTCCAGTGGACATCCATTATTATTAACCATTATATATCCTGGAATGGACGTACATTGGACGACCATTTTATGTCCATGGATGTATGGCTATAAAATGAACGTAAAATGGACATCCATAAGGCGTACGGTGCTATTTGGGATAGATTAGATACTGAAGTGGCTAAAAAAGAATTTGTTATATCATATCTGTTGTATCATACTCAGACAGTTTCTGATAATCTTTATCCACGCATCATAGTCTGCGAATTTTAGAAGGAAAGCTTCAGTCTCAATAGAAAAAACAAATTGAAGGTTAAATAAACGATAATCCCGAGTCGAAATTTTTAGCCTAGATTAAACCTACAAGTTTTGTCGAATTTGGAGAACCAATGTAAGCTTTAATTCATATATATAGATATAACATTACATTGGCTATTGCCCTCCTTTGATACTAAAAATTGTTACTTATTGCCGTTTTTTCCATGTGGAAGCTCAAAAGAGTACCTACTGAGAACCTCTAAAAAGGCTCCAGGTTCTATAAATATGTATTTCTAGAAAATAAATATTCAAAATTACTTAATAATCTATTATCTCATATACTCTACTTGCATTTAATGTATGGATCTTGATTTCAATAAAAAATATATTAATTATTATAATTTGCTTAACTGTAAATAGACTACTATAAGCAAATATTATATAAATATTATAATATTCACTTATCTCTTACATATCTATCTGCAGTTTAGTAAATTACGTAATTAATGTATTGCGCTTATTGAAATTAAGATATGCATTAAATACAAGTAAATCTAGTAATAGAATATTAAATAATTTCGAATTATAGGTCAAATATGTAATAAAATATTAAATAAAATTTTGAATTTTAATTGTTTTTTGTTTATTTGAATAAATTTTTAGTTATTTATAATACTAAATATAATACTGAGTTGCACATAATTTTTTAAAATATTTTTTACTATTCATTTGTTATTATTTATTTTATATTATAACATTTATTATATTAATCTGAAATAATAAAAATTGAACTCAATTATAGATTAAATATTAATATTTTTATTGCTAGAAATTTCGATAAGATTTGGAGATTCAAAAGAGGTAGGAGTTGTAATAATGAAAGTAGGAATTGTACATTTAACACAATAAAAATAAGGGTTTTCTAAGACAACAAGATTAAAGAAAGGCCAAAAGAAGACATAACACTTTCAAGATAGAACTTGTAGGTCAAGAAACATTATTAGAGGCACAAATAACCATGAGGTTTATAGTAGGTTTTAAATTTCGACTCGGGATGCCAGAGCAACAATTAATCAGTGTAAACTCATGTCAATGCAAAGAGACTTACGAAATGAACATCTTCAGATGTGACACGCATTTTTTTCGATATAAATTTATAGAGCGTTAAAAAAACAGGGATACAAACAAGGTGATTTATTCTAATCTTAACAGTGATCTTAAAAATAAGATTAAAATAAATCATGCTATATATATTTCTAATTGCTGACAGAAGATTTAAAAGGCAAAGACGGAAGGGATTTCTGCATCGCATTGTGACTGGGACGAAAAATGGGTTTATTATGATAACCCCAAGCGCAGAAAATCATGGGGACTTTCCGGCCATGCTTCCACGTCGACGGCCAAACCGAATATTCACAGTTCAAAGGTCATGCTCTGTATTTGGTGGGACCAGCTCGGCGTAGTGTCTTATGAGCTGCTAAAACCGTCTGAAACAATAACAGTCACGTGCGACGAAGTCTTTAACACCGGCACCGGCGCACGCGCAATCGTGCGATACTTGTTG